TGCATACTAGCTCTAGAATAATCCAAACAATCTATTATTTTGTTTGCCCCTATTTGTGTATTGAAGTAGAGGTAAGCACATGTTATCTAATCTTGGATCTCATCCTCTAAAAAAAAATCTTTTAAAGAAAATTATGTCCCCATGTTAAGGTTATAATACGCACCTTAGGCTATGTTCAGACATTTTTTCTTATATTTCTTCTAACACTCCAAGCTGCTTTACTTAGTGGACCAAGGTGCAACATATCTAAGGTGTTTTACCTGGTGCTAAATTGTTTTCCCTTAAAAAAACTATGAATTTACAAACCTAACTGAGTAAAAATGACCAGTTACACACTACATCCTCTGGTAAACACTAGAAAATCTTTTTATTTTTGCCCTGCATGTAAAGCAAGTCTTCTACTGCTGAGTTATATTCCCGAGCCTTAACACCTTTAATTCAGGGCCTCCCACATCTTAGGCAAGCACTCAACTGCTAAGGCAACTAGATCCCAAGCTGCGAACATTATTTGCTTTTTCATTTGAAATGCATGATCTCAAGCCATCTTTTCTTATTTCACTGGTCAGACCTCTTTTTCTCACATGAGCATTTTTATTTCCTTTTCTTCTAGGGTGCTTCTTGTTTCACATTGATCATACCACCAGTTTTTTTGTTAAGATCCCGGCTGGCTTTTCCTTTGCAACCTTTGGCTTTGTTATGCTCAGGGGAAATGATGCTAAACAAATTTTGTAAATTAGTGCCTCTATTATTTCTTTGTATGTTTTTAGGTTCTCCCAAATTTACAGAAGTATTTTCTCAATGTTCATTACTGATGAGCCCATTCTTTCCTCAATGAGAAATGCTATTCTATAAATATAGGTATTCATAAGTTTAAGTGACTTGACTTTTAAGGGGCTCTCTTCCCAAGCCCAGGCTAGCCTGAAATTTGCATCAAACCTCCTGCTTTTGCTTTCCAGCCACTGAAATTACAGGCCCAAGCTGCCACACCCATTTGTAGGCTCTATCAGTGATAATTCTGGTTGTGCTCGTAACAGTATAATGGTTCAATTATTATGGTTTAAGGGCATAAATGTTGCTCTAGAATATTATCTGTAAATGGATATAAAAGGTAGTTTATGTGTTATTATTTTAGCAGCAAAATACTGGGGATAACCTTACAGTGATTTGAGGAAAGGTGATACATTTGTAATGTGGAATATCATGTCAGATAAAGAAATGTCACTGTGAAAGAAATACCATGAAAGAAGTTAGACACGAGATCTATGAATGGAAAAAAAGACACTCAACGACTATTTGTTAAACAAACATAGGTAATTAACAGTATCTATATTGAAACCATAGTCTGTACTTAATAAAAACCATAAAATATTCTTGTGCACATCTGTACACTTTAGATTGTAATTAGGTAATCTAGAAGGAAATGAAGAAAGCTGGTAATTGACTGTAGAGAGAAGGGTTAGTGAGAAAAAAAAAAACACACACACACACACCCCAAAACCCTGAGCCATACACATTATTCATGACTTTGTGATGTGCTCATCCATGGATTTTACATATATTTTCATTTCATTACCACTGCACACTGTGTGCTTCATAGGCACACTACTCAGATGGTTCCCAAAGGCCCAAGTCAAGAGCCTTTTCCTCTGTGAGGTTTCCCTATTTCCGAGCTCTCTGGCCCTTGCTTTGTCAGTCCCTATTGATCCACTTTCAGCCCCCAATCATTCTCCAAATTGCTCTTCTACCAGGGAAGCGCTCTCCGCAGAAACCTAGCTTTTACAAAGGAGAAAAATTAAGAGAATTATTTAACTCCTTTAAAAACGTTGCTGTGAATAGACTGGGACACACCCCTTCCTTTCACTGCTTCATGCAATCCGACTCCAAATGCAGTTATCAATCCCGACAATTCACTGGCAGAAACCTTTAGTTAACTGTACATGTGGGGACCACATCGTTTACACCATTTTCCCCATCTCTTGGTCTCTGTGTAAAATCAGGCATATATAAATCTTCTCATTTGCATTATGAAACATTTCTTATGCTTAAAACCATTTTTTTTAGAAAGGGTCTCATCTCAAGTGCTCCAGGTTAAACTCAAACCCACTATAAAGCTGAGGGTAACTCTGAGCCTCTGAAATTCCTGCCTCCACCCCCCCCCCAAATATTTGATTGCAGGCATGTGCTCCCACAGTTGGCTTGTGCACAGCTGGGGAATCAAACGTGGAACTTCATGTATGCTAGGGAAGTACTCATTCCCAACCCAACAGATCATTTTCAGTCTGAACAAAAGAGGAAAATGATATTAAAGAAAATGGTTAGCTGATGGTAGCTAAAATTATAGTTCTGGAAATTTCCTCAAAAGTAATTATACTTAAAACTTTGATCAGATAAAGCCAGAAGTCTTAATTTCAGAATTCAGCTCTAGTAGTAAATTGCTGCTTCTGGAAAATGAGAGAAACAAAAAATATTAATTAAAAAAATTCCATGAAAATTATATTCATGATTTCACAAAAATGTGTTCTTGTGTGTGTGTATAAAATGTTTCATGACTACTAAAGCTAGAAGTATTATTCCATCAAATACTTGTATGAGGGCATTCTGGAACAAAGGAAGTTTCTTGTTCACAATTACACAGTAAGTGGCACCGCCGGTAATCAAATCCATCAATCCCTCATTTGCTCTTGAGAAAAAATATTCCATTATTTGAATCTGTGAAACCATTACGTAGCACTAATTTTCAGATTTTTTTTTGAGATGAAGATTACATGGCCCATATCTAATGTGTATCCTCACCCTTTCAGAATTTAGAGCACTTTCTCAGATGGGAGCTTATTAATCTTCAAAATATTCCTAGCCATTTAGGAAGGTTATGTGATATGATCTTGTTTGTGAACTGAGGCCAGAAGGAAAGCACTTACCCTGTATTCTGCAAACAGGAATGGTTCTGCAACCAGGGTCAGATCTCCTGATCCTTATTGTGTAGCAAACTTAGCTTTTCTGATGATGACCTAGAAGGTCAAACAAAAAGATGGAAAAGGACAGAAAAGATGTGAGACGGTGATTTTCTTTTCCATCCGTCACTGCAATTTTATCTCACACAAAGGACATCAAAGCTGATAAATGCGCAATTTTTATTTTCCTGTGGTTATATTTTCAAATGTACTTTATTGTTTCTTTATCAATTTTTGAAAAAAAAATTAATAATTTCTCTTAAGGATAATGTGAAATAAATAAAACTGTAACGGAACACCATTACAAATGGATGCGAATCCATCATCCAGCTTCAACAATTACCAACAGAAGGCCATCTTGTTTCATCTGTAACCCCACCCACTGCCCCCCCCCGTTTTTTAAGCTACCGAAAAAATGACTTAAGAATTATGAAAAAATTCAAATATATACCAGGGGGAAAAGACAAATACAGGAAACCCCATCTGCCCACCCCTCAGCTTAAAAACGATTATTAATCGAAGGTCCCAGTTATACCCCTCCCATCTCTCTCCACCGCTGAAATTATTCTGAAGCAAATCCTAGTCATCCACGTATTCTGAAGCCATTTTCAGACATTATTTAATCTTTACGCAAATATATACAAATATACATAGATTTCCACAAAATAAAGCAATCTGAAAACATAACCACACCGCTACCAGAAACGTCTAAAAAAAATCTGACACCCGATTTCATTAAAGAATATTAATTCCGCATTTAAAAATTCCCGATGAGTCTTAAAGAAAATTTTACAATTGGCGTGCTCGATCAGGTTTCAAACAAGGCCTACTCATCGCATGTGCTTCATACCTAGCTTGTTCTCATTCTCCTTCCCCTACCTTTCTCTCCCGCCGCTCGCTCGCGCGCGCTCTCTCTCTCTCTCTCTTTTTTTTTTTTTGGTTTAATGTGGGAAAATTCCAACCCCCAGCTATTTTGAAGCGATTCTCGGCTAGCAAATTTTATCCATAAAATAATTTCTTCTAAAAAAAAAAAAGGATGCGACGAAAATGATAGCGAATCTGCGTAATTTATAATTTTCTTCGGCTGAGCAAATATCTATCTTTAATAACAACTGCTAATATCTTTCGAGAGACAGGCTTCACAATTAATGCCGAACATGCACTATTTTGCTGTGCACATTTGAGTGCACGGCTGAGATGGATACTATTATCGCCGATTCACAAACATGGAAACCGAGACACAGGAGCCTTGCCCGAGTTGGGCGTTGGCGAGCAGGAATACGAATCCAGCTTTGCCTGAATGTGAAGCCGCTAGCTAATCCTGTCCAAAGACGCGGAGAAAAGAGGAAATCATCGACCCTTCCTCCCCACCCCCACCCCGAAACCTGAAGCGAGAATCCAGTTCTTTCCAGCAGCCGACGTGTGTTCACCGCTGCTGCTCCAACCGCCATAGTAAAGCCAGGTTTCTCTGGCAACTGATATCCATAGGCAGACACGTCACCCTGGGGGGCGGGCTTAGCCTTTCAGCCAATCACAGTCGTCTTGTCTCCGGTTTAGAATGTTCCATAACCAAATGATTGGCCCGCCACCCCCACGTCAGCAGTGATGCTCCGCCGCAGTAAAGGCGGGTGCTAGCAACCTGCTTCTTCATGGTTCGGGCCGAAATCAAACCAATTACCGTCCTTCTTCAGTGCCGATTCCAGCCAATGACAGTCTCCCTTTTAGGCTCTTAGCCCGCCCTCCAAATGCGCTGCAGCCGTTGGGTCAGAAGTCTATAGGGCAGCGTGTTCACGTGGCCTGTTTTCACGACCCAGAGTTCCCCTGACCGTGGGTTTTTTTTTTTCCCCCACCTCCTTTCCCTCGCTCTCTCCTTTTCTCCTGCAGGGAGGCATTATGGGTTTGTGTGTCCGTTCCCCTCCCCCGCCCCCGCACCACTGGGAAAGGAAGTGTCTACGTGGCTTGCGGAAATAGGATAGGCGGAAATGAGCTAAGGTTCCCGCGAGTGGGAAGAGCGAGGTCAAAGCGAGGGCCACGCCCCCGAGCCTGTTGCGCAACTCTCGGAACAGGAGAAAAAAAAGGAATAATGAAGGTTTTGATGTGTGTGTGTGTATGTGTGTGTGAGGGTGGTGAGTGCCACAGGCGGATGGCGTGAGAACCTGGGTGTAGGTGCACGGGCACGCTCGCGTGGCCGTGGACTGTGGGTGTGGGCGCCTACCAGCCCTCGTGGCGCCGGAGGTGGTGGGTGTGCGCAGGCGTGCACGCCGTGCGGTGGCGGGAGGGGCCCGATTGTGTGTTGTAGGTGAGATGCTTTATATTGGATTTCTGCTTTTTTATATTGGCAAACTGCATTAATGGAAAGGAAGATAATTAAGACTAAGTACTAGTAACATAAGTAAAGGGCTTTTGTTAGAAAAGGCCTGCGATTTCATTTAAGTTATTTACTCCCCTCCCCCTCCCTTTTTTTTTTCTTGAGACCCGGTCTCACTATGGGTCTTGGCTGGCCTGAAATTCGAGACCCACCAGTCTCTTTTTCTTCCTCTCGAGTACCTGGGATTAAAAGCATGCGCCATTCCACCCAGTCTGATTTAATTTTAGACCATATAGATGCCCTTTATTCCCACGTTTTAGTTCACCAAAATGAACCCCTCTGGTTAAGATACAACACTATATTAGCTACTTAAAACGGCGCGTCTTTAAAATTTTCAAGTATACTCCCCTTCTCGCCATCACCGAGACCTCCCCTTTGCAGCTCACGCATTTTACTGCATAATCGGCAGAAATAATTTGCAAAGCGAACATACGGAATTAAATTCCCCTCTGATAGAGCCACCTCCAAATTTTTGCGGGCTCTAAGCTTCACCTACCTTTTGTCCTAGTCTCCAAGCATCGTGATCCTCAGGCAAATAGGCTTTCGGTCAGTTTTCCAGAAAGTTCACTGGGTGAGGTTTATATCTCTTGAATCTGCCACTAGATGTCACCAAATTCCAGCAAAGGATTTGCTGTTTGGTTCCCGGGGATGGTGAGATTTATTTCTTTTTGCCCCACCCACTTCTTATTTGATGAATTCAATAACCTCTGGTTTCACATATATCATAAATCCCCAAAGAAGAATGAAATCACTAGGCAGGGAATTATATATCCAGATATTTTTGTTATTTCCTTTCCTTACAAAGAAAAAAGTCATCTGTTCTTCCAGATTTTCCTTCTCCCTTGTATTTTTTTTTTAACTCAGAGTTGATAAGAGCCTAAACACTGGTGCTAAAGTCCTCTGTGGGCTTTGGTGGTGCATCTGTAATAACAACCCTCAGGAGGTAGAAGGACCCCAAGTTGAAAGCCAGTTTAGATTATATGTTGAGATCCTGTCTCTATATTTAAAAAAAAAGCCTAATGAAAGAATATCCTTTTTGGGTTTTTGCCCACTTCATTTTCAAATACTGACTGTTCCTCCCAGTGGTAATTGCAGACGACTATATTCAGTCTGTAAAGATAACCCAGAGGTAAAGTTAGACCTCCGTATTGAAAATTATTGTCCTTTCCTCTTGAAATTTTTAGCAGATACGCGTGTTTGCTCCCTAATTTAATGCGATGTCTCCGTGTTGCTGACAGTAAGGTAGGTATGCTTAGTCGGCTTAAGAAAGTTCTATTTTCTTATGCGGAGGGCCATCACACAAAGTTCACACTCTTTAAGTTCCTAATTATAGTCTTAAGCCTTTCTCCCCAAGGTTGCTCACCTGTGCGGTGTATCTTCGAAGATCAGGTCCAGTCTCTAACAGAAGTCTCTGATTAGAGGGACGGGATCCCGGGGAGACGCTCCAGCCGAAGGAGCCGTCTCCAGGTGCACAGAGGAAGAACAGTGCTCGTGGTCTCTTTTTATAGACTGCTCAGAGGGCGTCAGAGGATTCTAGTCCTGTGTCTGGTTATCTTGAAAGTGATGTCACTGGGTTCTGGTTATCAGGTATAGCCTTGGGTGTAGTGGACTTCCTGACGAAGCTCTTTTTGTGTGTCTAAAAGGCGTTTTTTTTCCTATGCTCATTGCATTTTGCATATCTTGGTTGTGTCTTTAAAAATCAGATAGTAGATAGTGAAACATGTTTCACACTTAATTGTGCTATGTTTCAGGGCAACTGAGGAGGTAGCCCTGTGGGTTTTTTTTTGTTTTGTTTTTTGTTCTTTTTTCTTTTGCTTTCTGTGTGTATGCACATGTGTGTAGGAGTGTTTGTGCATATGCATGTTGGGGCTAAAGGTAATCTTCATTTTAGGTCTCTTCCTCTGTTTCTGTCCACCTTATATTTTAAGAGGCAGGGTCTCTCAGTGAACTTAGGCTGTTCTACATGGGCTATACTGGCTTGTCGATGAACTCCTGGGATCTGCCTGTCTCTACCAGTAGTCCCCTTAAAACACTATATGTGCCCCATGTTAGCTTTTATGTAGGTGCTAGGGAATTGAACTGAGGTCCTCTTGCTTGAGCAACAGACACACTTTACCCCCTGAGACATCTCCCCAGCCAGACCCTCAATTTTTAAATATTTTCTGTATATTAGATGTTGAAGTAAATGCTTTTTTCTTAACAAAATTGTATACCATTTTCAACCAGCAAATATCAGCTTCACTTATCAATGATATGTACTTGTGCACATGTCGGTAAAGGTTGTTTTTTTAGGATTTTAATTTCATTGTTTTTAATTATGTATAGGTGTATATATCTACATATGGGTATGTGACATGAGTTCAGAGGTCAGAGGCTTTGGATCCCCTGGAGCTGGAATTGCAGACTGTTCTGAGACACCTGGCATGCGTGATGGGAACCTAACTCGGGTCTTCCGGAAGAGCAGCGAGTGGACCTCCTTGCTGAGCCCTCTCTCCAGCCACAATGGTGAAAGGTTTTTACAGCAGCCTGCAGCTATATTTCCCAGGCCGACCGGAAGCATCAGTATCACCCGGTAAGTGGTCAGAAAATTAGACTCGTAGGCCCAACCTCAAATCTCATAAACCAAAGATTCTCTGGATGGAGTTTGGAAATCCATGCCACTACAAGTTGTTCCACTGAATCCAAGGCTCTCTAAAATTTAAGAACCACGGCTTTGTAGGGCAAAAATGCATCCCTTACATCTGTACACCACTAGAGGGCGCCATAGAATGCAAAGCAGAATCAAAAGGACCTCTGTTTGGACATACCCTGCATAGTATCAGTCTTGTTTTGCAGATTAAGGGATGTAAAAGTGTCACCATAAGTGTTTATCTTTCAGAGTCTGAAGCAATCTTTGCATTACAGATTGTTCTCTGCTTTGACTATGTTGACTGAACCATTAAGAAGATAGTAGAAAAGCAAACTAAGTATGTGGAAATGAATAGCTTGATGATTTTCATATCTTTCCTCCTCTCCCTTCTATAATATAACACAAAAGTCTAGGAGTAGTCTCCTTGCTATTGCTTCTTTCTCAATGTTCTTTCTGTTCTGTAGTTACCCATTTTAGCGTGTGTCATAATATTTTATATATATATAATAAAGGCCTGAGGGTGGTGAGTAAAACAGAAATTTGAAAAACCCAATACAGTGGGTCACCCACTGTATTTCCCTATACACAGAAGTCCCAATAGTAAGCTTATAACTTAGGTGAAACTTAACATCTTTTTATAGTGATGAGAGTGAGTTCTGGGGTCCAGTTGCTTTCATTCATCATATAATTTACAGGTGATAAGATCTGACTAATTCCTGCATTTGTAATTCTAATATTCAGTTAAGCTTTCTAGTTCTCTGGTTTAGTTTCTATTTAAGTGATTTTCCTTCTTTCTTATTTGTGAGACATTGATACTTTTTGACCCAAGAGAAAATGTAGAGAAGTATCTCTCTTATGTTTTGGCCAGGTTTGATCTGACCCCAGATACGCACTCTCTGGGCCCCCTCCTCTCAGCCCTCCAATGGTAGGATTTTGGCTCATCCAAGCACTTTTTAGAACCAGTTGAAGGAATCTGACATTGAGTGATGCTGACCAAGTATTATGACACACCACATTGGGGTGCTTTGTAGAATAACAAGTGTATTCAAGACCAGAAGTGTTTCAGACTTCAAAGTTAGTCAAATTTAAGTGATTAAAAAAAAAACAAGTTCTAGATTTTATAAATTTTAGTGTCATACCACCTATTAATGGAAACAAACATTTTGATTTCGTGATCTTAGAGCCACCTTGTATAATACAGTATCCAAGTAGCGTATGTGACTATTAAAGTCACAATTCATTAGACCACAAAAAAGATCGGTTCGGTTGGTTACTCTGACTGTATTCCAAAGGTGGCTACATAGTGTTACTAGCTGTCATGTGAAATGGAATGTAGACCTTTTCCACCGTCACAGCATGCTCTGCCGCACAGTGCTGGTGTAGATGACAGAAGGGATGGAAAAGGGCCTAGTGTCTATAGTACATGCCTCTTGACAGCTGTCCTCCAACGGTGATTTTTTCCCCTGCTCTTCTCAGGATTAGAGCTGGGGTGTTCCATCATGTTGACAGGGTCAGGAAAGGGAAGTAAGGTAGCTGAGGTACTTTAACAAGGGATATCCTGCTGCTGGACCCTGTATTTGTGGCTGCTGTTGCGGTTTTCTCATAGGTCTGTCCTTGTGCTTTCCTGGGTAGGGTTGCAAGAGCAAGACCATGAATAATGTGAACTAGTTTTAGAATCAGAGTTGTAGCAAAAAAAAATGGCCTAGAAACAATGTTTTCTGTATTCCAGGTAGCACAGGACTCAGCTCTTTCCAGCTGTTATCTTAGCAAATCCTCACGGAAGCCTGGAGAAGTTAAACAGTCACCTAAAGTTGCTCAACCAGTAAATTGCTGAGCAAGACCAGACTTGTTCCTGTCTTCAAAGCCCAGGCTTTTTCGTCTTAGACTGTGTTACCCCCTCAATGTGACCATTCCCCTGCACCCTTAACATTTTAGTGGGATAGAGCCTCAAGTAGATTCCTCACCTAGAGTCGGTTCTCAGAAAATGAGAACCTTTCTTTAGAACTTACAGCTGCACCATTATCTTTGCATGATTTCAACTCGAAGAGAAAGATAGCTTAATTTTATTTGGTTCCAAGGCCCAAGGCCAGACAGAAAGTATTTAAGGTCTCAGCCCTCACAGGATATTCATTGGCTCCATGAACCCTGTATTAATTTGCAAGATCAACGTTAGCTCATATAATGCCTTTGTGGTAATCAGAAGTATAGGCCACCTAAGGGCAGGCAAATTGCAGAGATATGTGCACTCCAGTGGAACAACGAGAAAGTGCCCCTTTCCTTGCCCTTGCTGACCGCTGCAACCTCACCAAGGTAGTTAGTTGAAAAAGACATTCCAGCCAGGAATTTTGTCCTCTTAGTTGAGTACCATTATGTAGGCATGTAACCTGCCTGCTGTTGTATGTAGTCCTTGCTTGTAGTACCTTGTGAATAATAAAACCATCCTTAGCCGGGCGGTGGTGGCGCACGCCTTTAGTCCCAGCACTTGGGAGGCAGAGGCAGGCGGATCTCTGATTGTTCGAGACCAGCCTGGTCTACAAGAGCTAGTTCCAGGACAGGCTCCAAAACCACAGAGAAACCCTGTCTCGAAAAACCAAAAAATAAATAAATAAAGCCATCCTTGGTTCAAAAAGTAGTGATCTGTAGTGGTCAGACTGTTCTTTTGTCTATCCCCAGTGGCCTCCCATGTCTCATACGTAGTAAACAAAATTGTTCTATCCTAAGCTTTATTTGATATCATATATAATTTTATTTTTTGTATGTACGCTTCATCTACATGCATGTGTGTGCACTGTATATGTGCCTGGTACCTCTGGAGGCCAGAAGAGGGCATTGGATCCCTTGGGACTGGTAGTACATACAGTTTTAAGCCAATATATGGGTGCACCAGCCCTAAATCAGAACCAAACTTTAAAAATATCAAGGAGAAGCTGGAGAAATGACTCAACATTTAAGAGCACTCACTGCTCATACAGAAGACTAGGGTTCAGTTCCCAGCACTCATCTGGTGGCTCAGAACCATCTATAACTCCAATTCCATGGGGCATGACACTTTTTTTTAACCTCTGTGAACACAAGGCACACATGTGATGTATATGCAGACAAAACACTCATGCAATACAATTAAATAAATAAGTCTTAAAGTGTTTAAAAATTGGTTCTGATTATCTTATATAATATTTCCTAAAACAATGATTGTTTAATATACAAGTTAAAACCAAATCCTAATATTTCAAGGCAAAGCAAAAATTGCATTTCTACGATAAAGATGTCTTTCTATTTATATCACCTCGTTCCATAGGAATTTCAAAAGGCCATTCCTGCGAATTTCTCTGAATCAGTCTAGTTTGTTAGTCCATGACAGAGCAAATGGAAATAGTGTGGGGGAAAAATTGTCCTTTTAGTGATATCTGTTTTCTCTTCTGTAATTAAACTACCACCTCATGGCTCCATTTGACGTAAAAAAGCTTATTTCAAATGACCAAACCATTGAGAATTGAACCTAGTCAGCGATGACCTTAGATGACCTTGAGATGCCAGAGTTGCACATGATCCCTTGTTTTTCTCCTTCTGAGTTAATAGTTTAGCTTGGAGCGTGCCAAAATTCATGGTTCTGTCAGCAGCACTCTTTACTTGGAAGGATCACTTTAAGCCACCCATGGTATACATTAACTCAGAAAGATAAAGACTGCTTTTCGCCCATGATAGCTTCTGTCTGTAGTTCGAACTTTGCATCAAGTGGTTGCTTTGAATCGTTTTTCTCTAGCTAAGTTTATGTTTGTAATTTCCTCAGAGTCTACATTTGACTAGAAGTGATAAAAATTATGACTTTTGAAACTATTAACTGCCATATTTAAAAGTACATGTCTATACTGTTTAATGGTAGATACAGGGTTGCTTGTACTATTTCCCTACTTTTGTGTAGTACTGAATGTTTCCTTAATAATTCTTTAAAGAAGAAAAAATTGAAAACTACTTCATCAGTCATGGGTTAGAGTACAAACATGGGTTTCTCTTTAGCCAAGACATTGAGTATAATTTATACTTTGTAGTAGAGATGGATCATATCAAATTTAGGGAAAGAATCCAATTGAAAAACTAAAACAAAACCTCTTTACTAGAACTTGATAAGGTCTCCTGAATGTACAGTCTCTCCCTACCTCTTCCCCTCCACCAGACGCCATAGGAAGCCTTGCTGTAATGAGCTACATAAGTGGCCACTTCCAATCCCTCAGGCAATTAGGACCAGAGAGAGGTTGAAAGCCACAGAATGAACCATCCACTTACTGGTGAAACTATTAGCCAGAAGGCAGAAGAACACAGGAATGGAAGCTAGAGGCAAGAGAGAGCCTCATTGAGTGCTGCGGAAGGCAGCGCTGCTATGGAAACAGGAGACAAGATGGTGGAATATGTGACAGAGTTCGTCTTATCTCTTTGGGGAAGATGCCTTTCCTACCTTATTTCTGGTTTTGAAGAGCAGGGAGACCATCTGAAAGCAAAATGTATGATCATGCACATGTGAGTGAAAATGTAAGCATTTAAAGAAAAGGTGTCTTATCGCGCTGCTTAGAATGACAGGTTCGACAAACTATACATTGAAACAGTGCTTTTGGTCTATTTGTGGCAGTGTTTTACCATATGGGGAAGCAAATGAGACTATACACTACTGTGACAGAGTAGTGGTGTGGGGCCCTCGGAGGACGTGTTCCTTCAAGGCCCTGGGGTTGAGGTAAAATGATTGGTAACAGAACAGAGAAGAGAGTAGGAGCAGCTCCTAAAAGGTACAAAGCTGAGGTACACCCAGCTGCTCCCAGCCTAGCGTTCTTGGTGGGACGTCAGTGGGACCCAGGAGGCTACAGCCAGCTTTCAATAAAGCTGGTCTGTGAAAGCTGGCTGGCTAAGAGGACAGAGGAAAATTGATGTTTGCTCCAGAGTGGGGCTGTCAG